TATCATAATGTGCATGTTTACTTCGTATTATCATTCATACGTATCATGCGTCAGTTTACGTCACAACAGCTTTTTTTTTCAGCCAAGTTATAACAAGGAACTAAACAACTTTTAGTTTACGTGAAACGTCTGTACGATTTCTACACTTGCTATAGAACTCCTTATTTAATGAGCAAAACCTACAACTAAGACTCGCCAAATTATCTGACTGTAAACAGTCCAGATACCTAGATAGGTCATTATACTGCATTAAAGCTTTTTAACTGTGGAGATACTTTGACATCTGAAGTGTCAAACTAAATTCTATTAATTTCGCTAACAGTAGCAAGCAATCACTCTGTTTTTAAACTTTCTCGCTTTACTGGCAAATAACACAGCACTGCACTTTTGTCAATTTTTCCTAAATTCTCCCACTCCCCGAGATGAACAGGGTACATCTCCCCTGGGGGAATTCTTATGCCACTGTCAATTGGGAAATTGTTTATTGTGAAATACACCCTCCCTTCTATTTCCACTGCACCAAGGTTGTTTGGAGGAATGTGTTTTTGTTCAACAACAGACCAAGTGTTGTTTTCCTCATTATACATTTCAACTGGCGCAGGGTTACCGCATGGAATAAATCTACCCCGATCATCTGTGAGTGGTGAAACATATCCCCCTGCAACATATAGTCTATTGTCTACTACAATAAGACTGGATCCAAAGTGAGGCTGGCAGGTTGCTGCTTTCAATTCCCATTCATTCTTTACTGGATCAAAACAATTTAGTACTGCTAGCGACCAGAGCCAATATGACAACTGTAAACTGTTTTCATACAGTACAAACACCTTTGAATGGATTATTGCTATATTTTTGCCGGGGCAATAATTTTTGCCTCTTGTTCCTACTTGTGGAATACTTTGCCATTGACGTCTGGCAAAGCTGTATCTTTGAAGTGCCTGATTTGAATCAACACTAATAGCATACATATGATCATCAATAACCCATAAGTTGTTGATTACACCACATTGGTGAAGCAGCCTTTCCCACACATTTCCTTCTGTGCTATACTGAAAGATGCAAAAGCCTGAGGAGCCAAGTCCGGCAACAAACAACTTGCTGCCAACAGAGATTGCGCAGTAACAGTGAGTTGCCTGAATTTCCGGTATTGTGGATGCCAATGGTTTCCATGTTTTGGCTTGAACGTCAAAATACTGCATCTGCGCCTGAGGTTCAACTCCAATCAGAGCCTGAAATACAATTTGAAAGGAAACATCAAATGATAAAATTAACAGGCCGGTGACCCTTTTTAGTTCCAGCCTCACATCTCGTGTTCATGGAGAACATTTTGAGAACGTTGGGTCTGGGAAGGGTATGGGGATGGGTGAGTAGATTTCGTGACCAAAATGGAATGATTGCAACTCACGAATGTTAGTAGCGCATAACATGTAGTTTGAAAGTGAATCACCTTTGTGAAGGTAGCAAAGATTTTTTTTAAAAAAAACTCGATAATAGAAAAATCGTAGGGAAATGAGTAAATCTGTCCTTACGTCAAACGAAAGTTTGGAATTACTTCATGGGGATTTGGGTTTTCCTGACATGTTTTGTGTATTCAATAGAAGAGTTCACGCTCTAAGGGGCATTATGTGCACTCAGGGCAAGATTGCAAAGCAACAAAGCGGCAAAAATATGCGTTTTTCTTCACATTCCCGGCGTTCTGAGTTTCATTTTGCGAGAAGAAACTTTTACTGTAACTAGAGAAACCACTTTTCTACATTTACTAGCATTTTTGAGTCGACTGGGTTAGGCATTAGCCTATTTATCAGAGTAACGGAAATGTTATTCTTGTGGCTTGTAAGACTTGATCAAATCATTCGGTTTTATCCTACGCCCACAACAATCACTTTATCGGCTCAAAAACGCTGGTAAACCTAGCTTCTCCGTCTACAGTATATGTTTCGTCTCCAAGTGTGAAATCTGAACGAAAATATAAAGATAAACATTTGTTTTACCGCTTTGCTTCAAAAATTTCCCATGATTACCCGTAATGGCCCCTAGAGCGTGAACTCCTCTATACGCGTGACTTTGTTGTTATTAGCTCAATTCAGTCGTGAAATAAATTCACTTCTTGGAGAGAGAAGACTGTTTAATTACCGGGCTTGTTGCTCGAGGTTTACTTTTCTCCAGTGCAAATTTGGAGTTATGCGAAGGCATGTTGTTATACAACGATGCTTCATGTAAATGCATGAAAATCTCTGGAACTCGCTTCATCTCCTCTGTATTAAGTTCTTCAATCACAACCCTGATGTCCACCAGCCCCAGACGAACAGCTCCAATAACTTTGGCCGCTACTGGCATCCTCTCTTCCTTCTTGTGTTTAATCCACTGCATCACTGAGTTGAAGACGAACGTCTCCGAAGGTGCA